GAGGTTAACAGATGTTTGTTTACTTTCACCTTTTCTTTCATTATATTTAATAATTCTCTTCAAGATAATGTAAATTGTTCAGAAAATTGTTTTCTTTTAGTGCATTCTGGAATGTTACATAATTTTTTCTTTAGCCATTATTGCCAGAATTCCTATCTTCATCCCAGTGCCAGTGAAGACAAAGATAAAACCAAACTACAGCTTCTGCAATATCTATCACTGAACTGCTTGCAGAACTTGCCTGGACTATGTTTCACTTGTATGCATTGTGAACTCACTTGTATGCATCGTGAAATCTCTGTTGGTACAGCGACTTGTGGTAGTGTTGGGGTATTTTTGCTGATGGTGTCATTGGTGGTACAATTTTTCCAAAAGGAGCTGTCAATTGGCTTGTTGTATCTTCCTCCCTTCTGCTTGTGATGATCATTCAGCTAAAATTTGGGGTCCAACAGAGGTGAGGAAAAGAACCTCACCCCCTTGGTGGTACAAAGAACTATCCACAGGTATGGCTGTATGCTGGACCAGTATTCAATTATGGGTAAAATCCAATTGCAATGTTACCAACCTAAGACAGGAGGCTGACGCCTTGAGGTCAGCTCATCCATTGACGGGTAAAGACCATATGTAGTATTGGACAACCTAAGGCAAGCACAGTCCCTAAACCACATGCTTGTTGTTTAAACAGAGAGGGAGAGATGTTGAGAGCCACAGCTGAAGGGACCCCAGCAAACTTCCAGCTGCCAGCTGATGATTGGCTCACAGTGGCCCCAGCAATCTTCCAGCTGCCAGCTGATGATTGGCTCACAGCAGCCCCAGCAACTTCTAGCTTCCAGCTGATTGGCTCCTCTGTGGTGATGCTCATTGGGCTGTTTCCCTGCCCTTTCAGACCACGGAGCTGCTCATTGGGGGACTTTTTTTGGCTCTGCCCATGCGACCCAGCCAATCTGCCTCAAGAGCAGGAGGGCTGGGGGAGGTGGAGAGGCATGTGGGAAGCTGGTGGTGGCAGTTGGGCTCTGAGGGAATTCCTGAAGAGCTGTGTGGTGCGGTGTGTGTGTTCTTAAAATAACATTCATTTCTTTTGACCTGTGGCTCCTGAATTGTGCCCAGCCAGACTGTGGCACCCGACTTCCCTGTGCTGTCCTGTTTCTTTCAGAACACGTGGTTCCAGAGCTCCATGGAAACGCAGTTTTGTGAGAAGCATGTATAGAAGGGGTAGATTTTCGACATTTCCATAAAGACAGAAAGGCCCATTTTGTTCAGAGTCAAGGTCAGAGGAGTGCCTTTCCCCCACCCCTAGTAGCTGGTGGGTGAGAGCTGATGGCCAGATATGCATGAGGTCATCAGCATAATGAAATCAGTACCTTGTAGAGCTGAGCTACTCAAGCTAGATATCAGGCTGGGAGCTCAATCTGATGCCCTGCCAGTCACCCTCTGGCCCATGCAATCCGCACTCAGTAAACACTGACCTGGCACAGCTCAAGGTATCCAGGAATTCCCAGGGCATTGTCAGAATCTGCATGCCCCATCCAGGTAATATGGTGGCTGAAGCTTCCTGACCTCCTTCCATCATCTCCTCTACCACCATTCTACCTTCCTGGTCTCCCTTCAGCTGTGACCTAGAGGTGATGCTGGTGGATGGTGTTGTGACTTCTGAGGGCTGATTTCACATTTCTATGTCCTAATCCAACTGGAGCTTTTAAAATTTTTTTCTCCTTAAAAAAATAAAAGTCCCCCCCAGTCACTAATTCATTGGGGGTGTGGGGCACAAAACAGAGTCAGAGGTGAGTCAATCTAAAGTTCTCTTTTTGATTGGTTTTGTGGCTTTAGCCAAGTGTGCTGTCTCTTCTTCTGCCAAAGGGAGGTAAGAATAGCTCTCCCCCTGGAGATCTATTAGAACAACATAAAGCTCCCCCAGTCGGCTTTGTGTGTCAACTTGGCAAGCTACAGTATGCTGCTATCCAATGAAACACTCATCTCAGTGGGGGGCTGTGAGGATATTTTATAGATGTGGCTAATGCATCCCCTCAATTGACTTTAAATTAAAGAGATTGACCTGGATCGCATAGGTGGGACTTGCCCAATTAGCTGAAGGCCCTAGAGCAGAACTGCAAATTTTAGGAGAAGAAATTCTGCCTGACAACTTCAACATCAACCCCTGCCTGCTGGCCTTCCATACAGGTGTGACTCACAGTCCCCATAGCTGTGAGAACCAGATCCTTTAAGAAAATCTGTTGGCCTCTCTACATAGTCTGCTGGTCTATTTCTGGACAGAACCCTGAGCCAGACAGCACTGACACAGAAAGGGAACAGGCAGGTACAGGAAGATACATGCCAGGTGTGGGAAGAGTCCTTGGAGGGGAGGAAAGGGAAATGAGTACCAGGTGATGGGGTTTATGCACAAAATACATCATGGTATGCACCCATCTCAATAAGGCCTGCAGGAGAGAGGGAAGGAAGCAGAGGGCTATTGGGACTGAGGACTGAGGTGTGGACATCACCCAGCTCATGGCTATGAGAGAAGGGATAGTCCACCTCCTGCTAAAGTTCACCATGCCCAGGGGCCTCTGGCACATTCTGTTACAGGACTCCATCACAACCTTGGGCTAAACAAATTCAGGGCTGGGCCTTATCTGATGAGGTGGCCTGAAGGCCGACAGCACAGGCGCCAGTGAAGACTCACTTCTTCTTTTCCATGCACTTCCAGGGGCTTTCTGAGTAGGTAGCTGTAGCCACCTGTCCTTTTTTCCAAAGCAAGTTCAGACCATTTCTGAGCACAAAAGCCCTGCTGAGGAGCTGCCTGGAAAGCCCATGTGCCCCCCTCATTTTGATCATTTGTAAACTGTGAAGTTCAAGGCAAAGCTACACCCCTGCATATCCTCAGTAGGAGTCTCTGAAGGTGAGCTCATGCTTCACAGAATGGTACCTTAAGAGCTGGGCCCTGGTGTCAGATAGGACCGAGTTGAGATCCTCAGACTTAACCTGCATGTCAGCTCTCATGAGGAAATACAGCAGAAGCACTGGGAGGCCTTCTGTGGAGGGGAGTTGCTGTTATCAGGACTTAAAAAACCGTAAAGAGCCAGTAAAACCATTTTCCCTGCACACCTAGTATGCTAGTCATGGTGTGCCAGAGAATCAGAACCAATAGGATATACCAGGGAAAGAGGAGAAAAAGTTATTTTAAGGAATGGGCCATGCTATGGTGGAGGTGTAAATGCAAAATCTGCAAGATGGGCTGTCGGTAGGGAAGAGCCTCAGGTGATGCAGAGGTCTGCTAGCAGATTTTCCTCTTCTTCTGGGGAGGTCAGTCTTTTTCTCTTAAGACCTTCTGTTGAATGAATTATGGAGGGTTATCAACTTTATTAAAAATCTGCTGATCTAAATGTTAATCTCATCTTCAAGAAAATACCTGCACAGACTCAAAAATCTTAACACCAAAAAAGAAAAAGTTACCCAATCAATAAATGGGCCAAGGAACTGAACAGATACTTTTCAGAAGATGATATACAATCAATCATCAAATATATGAAAAAATTTTCAACATCTCTAGCAATTAGAGAAATGCAAACCAAAAGTACTCTAAGATTTTATCTCACTCCAGTCAGAATGGTAGCTATTATGAAGGCAAACAACTATAAGTGTTGGCGAGGATGCGGGGGAAAGGCACACTCATACACTGCTGGTGGGACTGCAAATTGGTGCAGTCATTATGGAAAGCAGTATGGAGATTCCTTGGAAAACTGGAAGTGGAACCACCATTTGACCCAGCTATCCCTCTCCTCGGTTTATACCCAAGGGGCTTAAAAACAGTATACTACAGGGACACAGCCACATCAATGTTTATAGCAGCACAATTCACAATAGCTATATTGTGGAGGCAACCTAGATGCCCTTCAGTAGATGAATGGATAAAGAAAATGTGGTATATGTACACAGTGGAATATTACTCAGCATTAAAAGAGAATAAAATCATGGCATTTGCAGATAAATGGATAAAGTTGGAGAATATAATGCTAAGTGAAGTAAGCCTGTCCCAAAGAACTAAATGCCAAATGTTTTCTCTGATATAAGGAGGCTAATTCATAATGGGGATAGGGGGTGGAGCATGAGAGGAATAGACAGACTTTAGATAGGGCAAAAGGGATGGATGGGAAGGGAGGGGGTATGGGGGTAGGAAAGATGGATATCATTACCCTAAGTACATGTATGAAGACAACCAGAAACATGAAAAATTGTGCTCTATATGTGTCCTATGAATTGAAATGCATTCTTCTGTCATATATAACAAATTACAATAAATTAAAAAAATAAAAAACAAAACAAAAATACCTTCACAGAAACATCTAAAATAATGGTTGACCTTATGTCTAGCTACCATGGCCTAATCAATTTGACACAAAATTCACTCTTCTCATAAGTGTATAAGCCCAGGGATGTTCATATATCCTCTGCCCAGGACTTTCACTAGAAAGTGTTCAGAACTCTGGAATTTTACTACAGCAACCATTCAGGTATACATTCTTGAAAAAGCAGATGTATCTGGGTCTACCTGATGTTGTACAGTACAGGGTTGAGGTTGAGGTGGGCACTGTTCCAAGATCATGCAAGATGAGTCGGTGGGCTCCAGAATTCCAGAACCCATCAGAGCAATGCCCTGAGTCCAGGGCCTGGTGCTATGCCACTCCCAGGGGCAGATCTTGCCTGTTTTCTTCGTGAAAGGCCCAAGGATTGTACCTGGTACAGTCTGTACCTGGTACCTCCTGAGTAGGGACAGAGTGGATTGCCCTGGAGAAGAACAGCCCCTTATACCAAACAACCCCGAAAGACCAACACAAGGCCTTGCTTATCTTGTACTTTATACTAATCAGAAACTAAAACCATCAGAACGCTTCTGGGACAGTGCCCTCCAAACAGTCCTGGAAGTCCAAGGCAGGTATAACTGGATCATTCAAACTCGGAAACTCCCGCTCTCCTTCAGTCCCTCCCCTTCCAGTCCTTCTGCATTACAAATCTTCATCGTCAAAAGTCTCCAGGCACCTCAACATTATCATCTCATTGTCATTGGGAAGGTCTGGTTCCTGCCAAAAAGGTGGAAGAGGTTGAAATTTTGATTTAAGAGTTCCAGGCAAATAGGAAGGTCCCATCATCTTGGGTGTGCCCAACTCTCCCAGTCTCCACAGCTATCACCTTCAGCCCCCATCCAGGGAAGAAGGTGGGTGGTCTTATTTCGATTTCACTCAACTCACACAGCACCAGAAAGGAAGCAGAATTGGCTACTCTCCTATCCTGGGGATTTCCAGGATCCCATAAGAGAAATGGGAAAGCCGTAAATCTTTATCCACAGGCCCATCAATAGACAGCACACTACACCATGGTATGCCCCTCATGGAATGCCATGAAGCTGTGGTTTAGTTTATTTTTACTCAAATTTTTTTATTCATCATAATTTTTATTACTATATTGCAGAGGTGGGAATGGGAGCCAGGACCTCACAGTGCTAGACAAGCTACATCCACCAGCCTGCAGCTGCATTTATTTTAAAGAATGAGATCACTATTTGTGGGGTAACTATTAGAAAAGAGGTGAAGTTCAAAACAATTTGTATAGTAGGTACTATTTGTGTTTGAAAGAATATATGAATTCTTGTAGACCGTCTTTGGATGGGTATATAAGATACTGTCAAGGAAGAGAAAAGTTTGATGAGTAAACAAGTCATGGCAGGAGAAAGCCTATGTTTTACTGAATACTTTTTGTGCCATGGACATGGGTTACCTATGAGGTGATCAGCTTTTAAGAAGCAGTGCTATATGTGTTTATGAAGTTTCTCATTCCCTTTACAATGACCTGGCCAACCTCTCGGGCTTGTTCATTACTTCTTCCACTAAAAGTATGTTCTCAGGTATTTTCTCTTCCTGTGTCTCTCCACCCAGCTGAGAAATGACCCTTGTCATTTATTGTCCCTGCATATCAGGGTTGCTCTCCAGGGGTCCTGGGCAGTATCCCCATCAGGTATCTAATGAAAGTAGGTTGGTCCCAAGGTGGATACCTAGATGCGGGGATGACCTCTGCTAGTTTCTCATTCCACATGATCTCCTGGTGGGGAAGGGAAAAGAGAATCAAGAGGATCAGAGAGGCTGGGATGGCTCAGTATTGCCTAGCACATGCCATGCCCAGGCTCTAGCTCCAGTATTGAAAATGAGAAAGAAAGAGAGAGAATCAGAGAAGTTGGATCAGGTAATCTCTAAGGGAATAACATGTGCCCCTGGTTCAGAATGAAGACAACTGCCAAGCTTGAGACAAGATTTAGTCAAGAGAGCACAGGGGGTCCCAAGGGGCCAAGTGTCCTGGGAGGGAACAAAACAACCAAATGAGGCACTTTTAAGCTGCATATTTTTAAGCTGAAAGGAGCAGGTTGTGAGAGATATTTTCTGTTACTGGTTGCTGAAGTGCTCCCCCAAAGTCATGTCCCCCTGGAAATTAATTTGAAACAGGGTCTGGGCAGATGTAATTAGTTAAGGATCTCAAGATGAAGCCATCCTGAATTTAGTGTGGGCTTTAGATCCAAGTGATTTGTGCCATAAAAATGAGAGGGGCAGAGGGACAGAGAAGAAGGACCTGTGAAAACAGAGGCAGTGCCTGGGGGCATGGAGCCATACAGGGCAAGAATGCTGAGTGGTACCAGAAGCCACTGGGAGCCAGGCAGTGGCCAAGAGGGACCCTTTCCTGAAGCCTTTGGAGGCAGTATGGCTCTGCCAACACCTTGATCTCAAGCTTCTGGCCTCCAGAACATTGAAATACGCCTGTTGTTTCAAGCCACAGGTTTAGGGTCACTTGTTAAAGCAGCCCCAGGAACCCAGTTCAGGTACTAATGAAGCCTGATTCAGCCACCTCCCATAAAGCTGATAGGGGTAGCAGTGAGTTGGAGGTGAAACTGAAGGAGAATGAAATTTTCCTCTTTTCACTAGAGTCTACCAAATCCAAGGCCTCCTGCCTAGAACCCCTTGGACAGCTTGCTCAAAACTCAAATCCCAGCACCCCATTCTCATAACACTGAATGAGAACCTTGAGAATAATCTCCCAAGGTGAGTCTAGGGAACACTGAAGTTCAAGAGCCTGTGCTTTATGGAGACACTCTGACCTCTGCTCCTGGCTTTTTTGCCACCTGTGGGGAAAGGAAGTCAGGAAAGCAAAGACTGTCCCCTTTATTTGTTCCCAAAGCCGTGTTGAAGTGGACTTATTTAATAGTGTCGGACAGAAAGCTGGGACAGTTGCTATGAGACAGTTACACCGCTGTTGGTGGGAAGTGGAGACAACTACAGGAATGAGCTCTGAACTCCAAGTGGGGATTGGAAGTGGTGCCCACATGGGGAAATGAATGAAGGGGAAAGGGGCCTATTACACCTTAGCCTATGGAAAAGGTGGCCTAATTATTTTTAGGCAAATGTGAGCCATTGTTAAGCTTGCCCTTTTAAATAAACAGTTGTATTTTTGCCAAATTAGCAGAGAAAAATTGATAGCTATGAATCTCAAAGGGCCTGTCTCCTGGTAGGTCAGACAGCCCTTCACCCTCTGAGAGCTTCAGGAATGGACACCCTAACCAAGACCCCCATGATTTATTGCTGAGAGCCATAGCCAAGTAGAAAGGAGGCATGGCATTTTTGGTTGAAAGGTGACCCCAGCAAGCCATTGAGAAGATAATGATAATGTTAAGATGTGCATTCAATTGGAGATTAGACTCCTGCTGTCTGCCTAGGCCTGCTACTTTGGAGCTCTCCCGGGACTCCCAGAGAGTTCCATTGGTTGGGGAAGTACGGTAGAAGGGAATTCTGGAGGAGGGATTTCCTGCTGGTGTAGTGTGTCCTGAGAGAATGCCACGTGCGTGGTTCACAGGAGAATTCCCAGGGAGTGTGTATGGAGTGTGCTGGTGGAGTTCAGAAATAAAGTTTGTTCCTGCTTCAGTGGCTCGTGATTTGTGCCCAGCCAGATTGTGGCATTTTGTGGCCTGTACAGGGAACACCTGAAGCTCGGAGGTAAGTGAAATTGCTCGCTTCTGAGGGAAGGTGAGAGAATGGGTGACCATTTCAAAAAAAAAAATGTGTTCTTGTTTTAATTTATTTTGTTTTTGTTTCAAGCTGCCTATCCCTAGAACTTTCTCAGGCAAAATGGGAAAAATGGTTGGCTCAAGGTTTGAAGTTGTTCGGACCTGAAAAAGAGAAAATTGATACAACAATTTTTTGTTCCATTTTTGTTTCATGTGGTTTCGGTTTTGTTTTGTGTTATTTTATTGGGTTGTGTTATCTTTATAGTAGATTAGAAATCAGTAAAAAACGAACCGAAAGAGTGTTGGTAAATTGTTAGAGGTTCAGAAAGACATTTTAGATCAAGCAAAAGAGAAGGTGTCTTTTGCTAGTTAGACAGAGGAAGAAAATTTAAAAGAAAAGGGGCTATTAGGGAAAAAGCTACAACAAGAGCCTGCTACTAACACCATTCTATCACCAGAGGGCGTAATTTAACCAATAGCTCCAGAGACAGCTGAGTGGCCCTCAACCCCCCCTAGTTGATAGATGGGATCCTGAGACAGGACCTCAAAGATTAGCATGCCCTATACTTGAGCAGGCAGCAGGGCAGTGAATTCACAGTGTGCTAGATTTCAAAACAGTGAAGCAGTTAAAGGAGGCCGTAACAACCTATGGTCCCCAAGCACCCTTCACTGTAAGCATGGTTGAATCCATTACCATCTTGAACATGATGCCAGCAGATTGGGCTAGAATGTGTAAATCTGTGCTAAATGGAGGAAAATATTTGTTATGGAAGGTTGCCAATAGGAATTTTGCATGGAGACCGCTAGGCGAAATGCAGCAGCTGGTTACCCTCAAAGAAATCTAGATATGTTGTTAGGAAAAGGACCTTCTGAAGGTCAACGGCAACAAATTAAATATGATCCTGCTATATACATACAAATTGCTGCAGACACAGTTAGGGCATGGAAGCCTTTACAAGGACATGGAAATTTACACGGTCAATTATCTAAGGTAATACAGAGAGTGAATGAACCTTACACTGAATTTGTAGATAGGTTATTCAAACAGCTGCCAAAGTTTTTGGGGATACAGAAAAAGCAATACCATTAATAAAACAACTGGATTATGACCACGCAAATCATTGCTGCAGAGAGGTCATTAGACCATGGAAACATGAAGATTTAAACACATATATTAAATTATGTAGAGACATTAATGAAGAAGGGCAAGTCTTGGCAGCTGCAGTACAACAGGCTTTAGATGCCAGGCCCAAAACATGCTACAATTATGAAAAAACAGGACATCTTAAAAGAAGTTGCCCCATAGGGGGAGGGATTAACATAACTAGGTATCAAAGGAATAGAATACCAGGTATTTACCCACGATGCCGTAGAGGGAGACTTTGGTCTAATGAATGCCATTCTCAAACCACCATAGATGGTACTCCATTATCAAAAAACAGACAAGGACCAGGTGTTTACCCACGATATTGTGGAGAAAGGCATCAGGCTCCATTGCCAAAAAATGGATGGGGGGCCCAATGCTCCGGGGCCCACAAGCACAAATATACAAAGCAATGGAGGATCCCAGCAACCCCATCATGGTAGTGCCCAGGACACATTGTCCATTAAATCCCTCATCAGACAAACCAGAGGGAGCACAGGGTTGGACATTTGCACCTCCACCAGAGCAGTACTAACTTCAGAGATGGGAGTTCAAATCATTCCCACAGGAGTAAAAGGACCTCTTCCAAAATGAACAGTAGGCTTATTATTGGGATGCAGTACTTCTACACTAAAAGGACTTATGATAAGTCCTAGGGTAATTGATCCCGATTATG